AGTGTGAGCTTTACCACAATCACTTCTAATGTTTCTGGGCAACTGGATAATTTTGTGTTCATGAGAGGTATTCGTTGATTATAGTGGTTTCAGGATGAAAGCTCTAGGTCCATTCAGTTAGTGATTGAGAATGACCTGCTGTGGGAACGGGAGTATTCGAGATGCGGCTGTCGGTGATACAAATAAATCCAGGGGTTTTGTTCTCTTGTTGAGCAAGACGTGCTTTGGTAGTTGAATGCTGTAGGAAAGGTTTAATTTTGTGAAGTATTTGTTTTATAGCCACATGAACATAGGGTGCTCCTGAAGCAGGTCTGACTTTTGGCTCCACATTGGAATTGCCCCACACCTGGTGGGTTGGAGCGGAAGCACTTTTCAGGCTTGGAAATGTTAAACTTGGCCCTGGGAATCTACTGTAGTTTCCACATGGTGTTTACTGCAAATGCTTTTTGGGTTTAATTGTTCACAACTGATATTTATTCTGCCTCTGTTCATCTGAGCTGGCCAGGATGTTACCCCTTAGCTGGTTTCCCTGTACCTGGATTATTTTAAAGCAAATCCCAGGCAACATATTATTTGATTTGTAAATATTTCAATATGTATTTCTAAAAGCGTTTTTTAAAGTCATAATACTATTATGACACCTATAATATTAGTAATAATTCCTTAATATAATCAAATATCTGGTCAGCGCTAACATTTCCCTGTATAACTTAATAATTTTTTTTTTTGAGACAGAATTTTGCTTTTGTCACCCAGGCTGGAGTGCAATGGTGTCACCTTGGCTCACTGGAAGCTCCGCCGCCTGGGTTCAACCGATTCTCCTGCCTCAGTCTCCTAAGTAATTGGGATTATAGATGCCCGCCACCACGCTCGGCTGTTTTTTTGTATTTTTAGTAGAGATGGGGTTTCGCCATGTTGTCCAGGCTGGTCTTGAACCCTGACCTCAGGTGATCCACCCGCCTCAGCCTCCCAAAAGGTTATTATTTTTAAAGTGCTTTTCCTGTTTGAATTGGGATCCAGTTGGTGGATACATCTTTAATGTCATTTTTGGCTTTGGCGTTCCTTCTATCTTTGCATTCTTTGCAATTTGTCATTTGGAATATGCTGGGTCATTTACCCTGCCGCCTTTCCCACAGGCTAGACTTTGCTGATTCCCCTGCCTGAAGATGTTGGCATGTTCTCACTTATACTTGTCATTCCTGCTGGTTCCCTACAGAGCAGCTCTAGGTCAGAGCCAGGCCTTCCCAGTGAGGGAAGGACAGGAACCCTGGGGCGAGCGAAGGACAGGAATCCTGGGGCGAGGGGCGTTGGTACTTCAGGTAGAATGTACCTCATACCTGGTTTTCTGACAGTGGCTGGCCTGGTAACCATTGGTGGTGCCTCCCTAGAGCCATTAATTCACCAGTGGTAATAAAATGATATTTTAATTCTGTAATTTCTTCTTTATTTTTTATTTATTTATTTCTGTTTTTTGAGACGGAGTTTCACTCTTGTTACCCAGGCTGGAGTGCAATGGCGCAATCTCGGCTCACTGCAACCTCCGTCTCCTGGGTTCAGGCAATTCTCCTGCCTCAGCCTCCTGAGTAGCTGGGATTACAGGCACGTGCCACTGTGCCCAGCTAATTTTTTGTATTTTTAGTAGAGACGGGGTTTCACCATGTTGACCAGTATGGTCTCGATCTCTTGACCTCGTGATCTACCCGCTTCAGCCTTCCAAAGTGCTGGGATTACAGGCGTGAGCCACCGTGCCTGGCCCTTCTTTATTTTTTTAGCTGGAATATCTCTAAAAGAGAAACTTTCTTTCACGGTTATTTTGGAAATGCAAGATAAATGCCTGATTCTTTTTGTTTACTTAAGTTTTCAAAATAATGAGACAGATCCTTTGATCCTTCAGAGGGGACCATTAAGTTTTTATTTTTAAGTTATGAGTCTTATGTGCTTAAATATATTCTATGTATTTCAGTTGGTTTTTTATCTTTTTGCTGCCCAGATTTCTCAAATTTGGGCAGCAGGAATGTATGCAAGTTGGTTCCTGAGTCCTTTTGACAGGATCCTTGTATTGGTTTTTTTCTTAGTATGTAATAAATTACCCCAAAATGTAGGGGCTTAAAACAATATGTATTGACCAAGCATGGTTGCTCACACCTGTAATCCCAGCACTTTGGGAGGCTGGGGTGGGTGGATCGCTTGATCTCAGGAGTTTGAGACCAGCCTGAGCAACACAGCCAAACCTCATCCCTACAAAAAGTACAAAAATAGGCAGGCACAGTGGTGTGTGACTCTAGTCACAGCCACTTACGAGGTTAAGGCAGGAGAATCGCTTGAGTCTAGGAGGTGGAGATTGCAGTGATGTGAGATCACACCACTGCACTCCAGCCTGGGTGACAGGAGCAAAACCCTGTCTCAAAAAACCCAAACAACAACAAAATAAACACAGCATGTATTACCTCAGAGTTTCTGTGGGTCAGAAATCTGGGTGGGGTTTAGCTGGGTCCTGTGACCTGGGCTCTCCCCTAGGGCTGCAGTCAGGGTGCCAGTCGGCTGCCCAGTCATCATCTCCCATCGTCATGTCCCAGTGTGAGCTTGGGGAGTGTGCCCTGCCAGGCTGTCTGGCGTGCTGCTGGCAGGCCCCTGTTCCCTGCTGACTGGCTCTGTCCACAGGGGTCCTCACTCTGTGGTCCCTGGCTTTTCTCACTGCCAGGGCTCTAAGAGAGAAGGCACGAGAGAGCCAGCAAGATGGAAGTCACAGTCTTGAAAGCCCGCCTGGGAAGTGACAGACCCATCACTTGGGTGTATTCGTCTTCTAGTCATTAGAAGTGACTCACTAGGTCCAGCCCCACTCAAGGTCAGGGATGGTGCATGCAGGGTGTGAGTGCCAGGAGATCAATGGGAGCTGTGTTACAAGATGCCCGCCACAGCCCTAGTGACCTGTGTTAGCGTTCCTGCTTTATTGTGTAAGGAGATGGTTCAGTATTTGAATTAAGTCACTTCTTCAAGGAACCCTGACTTATTTTAGTGGAAAATGGCATTTATACGCTATAATTTGAGCATAAGATTCTAGGACTTTTCAACGGACAAAGCAAGGGAGTCTTTTGTTATTGTTTGTTTAATTTCCGATGAAAGGTGAAGTTTCTGCTCCTTCCAGTTAGATTCAGGACTACAGTTTTGTTTGTTTTTTCTTTTGAGACAGAGTCTCTCTCTGTCACCAGCCTGGAGTGCAGTGGCGTGATCTTCGCACTCAGTGCAACCTCTGTCTCCTGGGTTTAAGTGATTCTCCTGCTTCAGCCTCCCAAGTAGCTGGGAATACAGGCGCATGCCACCACTTCCAGCTAATTTTTGTATTTTTAGTAGAGACGGGGTTTCACCAAGTTGGCCAGGATGGTCTCGATCGCTTGACCTTGTGATCTACTTGCCTCAACCTCCCAAAGCGCTGGGATTACAGGCGTGAGCCACCATACCCGGCCAGGACTACAGTTTTGACTTAACCTCATCACACTTGTGTTTTTATCTTGTTCAACCACTTCAAAAACCTTGGTTCTCTGGGGCACCAGCATAATTAATTACTCCTGTAATGTCCTACAGTACACAGACAGAAATCTCAGAATAATGACACTTACATTACCACCCAAAATATGATTACTAAAAATGGTTTAAGATTTCTTTGTAGTTCTTTTTCTTTTAGGATATATGTCCTTACAATATACAGTCAAATTCCTCTATAGAGTCATAATTGGAATAGTTTGTCACTTTGTGGTACACAACTAGATTCATTTGTTTCAACTTACGTTTGAATTTTAGCTTGTTATTTATTTGTTTGTTTATTTATTTTTAAGATGGAATCTCACTTGGCCACCCAGGCTAGAGTGCAGTGGCACGGATCTCGGCTCACTGCAACCTCCGCCTCCTGGGTTCAAGCAATTCTCCTGCCTCAGCCTCCAGAGTAACTGAGACAACAGGCGTGCACTACCATGCCCTGCTAATTTTGCTAATATTTTATATTTTTTAGTAGAGATGGGGTTTTACCATATTGACCAGACTGGTCTTAAACTCCTGACCTCATGATCTGTCCTTCTCCGCCTCCCAAAGTGCTGGGATTATAGGCGTGAGCCATTGTGCCCGGCTGTTATTTTTTTTTTTTTTAATTTTTGTTTTATTTTTGCATAAATTATTTTTATCATTCTAAAGATGACCTTCAGATCAAAGTATATTTGCAGAAATCTAGCTTCTTTCCTTGTTCACTTTCCTTGTCAGTCCCAAATCTTTACTCTCAATTTCCCTTTTTCTCCTAGGTAGCCTTTTGAAAAATACATAGGTTTTTAAATATAATTTGTATATTTCTACATACCTTTTTCTCCATCTTTTATCTCCACTGAACAGTATATCCCAGCGGCCACGCCATACAGTCTATAGACCTCTTCCTCATTTCTTGTTCAGTGGCGTCACACTCCACTGGGTAAATGTATGGTCATTTATTCTAGGGATCTGTACTCTGCAGAAGTTCTCCTGTGCTGCTGTTTTCTGAGAAATGCAGTTTCTGAACAGATGTAGAAAGAAGGCAGGAGGAGGGAACAGTGTCCTGGCTGCTCTGGAAGCAGCACCTGCTTGTAACCACTCCAGTTTTTTTTTTTTGGTTTTCATTTGTAGAGAGCTAAGGTGTCTTTCTGTTTGTAACAAGGTGAGTGGGGCTGCCTTTTTCCGTGAGGTTAGCCCTTTGTGGTGTCTCTTACTTCATTCACTCTTCTTTTGGCTTACAGTTGGAAATTCAGGTTTTAACAACTTGCTGTGTATAAGTCATAATGGTTGATGGTGGCATTATTTTGCGTGCCTTCATGTTTATATTAGTAAGGATTTGGGAGGAGTGGTATCAGGGGTGGCTCCTCACATGCCATTTAAAAATAAACTCCTATTTGTAAAAAGTAGATAAAACAAATGGGTTTAGTTTTGTTTTGTTTTTAATAATCGTTTCTCTTCTGACCAGTCTTGAATTATTTGTGTTTCAGGGAAAAGGACTTGGAGGCCAAGTTCATTATTCAGATGGAGAAAAGCAAAACAACAATCACAAACTTAAAGGCAAGTAGTGACCTGGTCTGGCTTCAGTTCTAAGAGTCCCATGTTTGATTTACTGTGGGGATAACTTATGGGTGAATGAAGCCTTTCTGCTGTTTCCACACCCTCATTTCCAGTGCGGTTAGCCACGTCAGCTTGCACTTGGCTTGGGCTCAGTCTTGAAAGCAGAAGAATTGATCCCATTTCCTTTCCCATCCCTGGTTTTATTTGATCTAGAAACCAAATCCGAGCTGTTGCTCTGGTCTAGAAGCTCCTGAGTCTATGCCAGACCCGAGCATTTTCATCCTGTGTCCTTGTGGTGGAGACTTAGCCTGGCAATCAACTGTGCCCTGTGAACATTAAATATGCTTTGGCACTAGATTTTTCCCACTTTTAATGAAAATGATTATGTTTGGTAATCTTTGAAGAAGAGCTGGTATTTGTTATTCAAAACTCAGGAGAGGAAAGATTTTTAAAAAATCATCAAATTTCTTTTCTGGAAAAAAAGTTAATTTTTTTTCAAGACGGCAGTTTTCTCCTTTGGCACTTAAAATATCCTGTTTGCTTATTTGGTTAGGAAAATTTTAAAGGACACTGAATGCTTTTCACTGAGGAGGGAAACAGGGGCATAAAATTAATATGAAAGAAATTATAGCTGGGCTCTGTGGCACACACGTGGTCCTAGCTACTCAGGAGGCTGAGGTGGGAGGATCACTTGAGCCCAGGAGATCAAGGCTGCGGTGAGCCCTGTTTGTGCTACTGCACTCCAGCCTGGGCAACAGGGCAAGACCCTATCTCAGAAAAGGAAAGAAATCAAGTACGTGATGGGTTCAGTGCCTTTCTCCTTCGATATTTGTCATTAACTTTTAGGGCTGGGTTTCTGAGACATGACTCTCCATGGCCAATCAGATCCATTCCTGTTCACATCTGAGGAGCGGATTTCTATTAATTTGTGGCTCAAAGGCCTGGGTGCTTTGAGATCCAATTTCAAAGTAGTACAAGTTGATCTCCAATGATAGAAGCTGAGAAATGCTCCCGTCTTCCAACTGGGCAGTCTCTGGATCATTTGATTTCCTCTGTTGAGGCGGTGGTGTCCTCTTTGCCTGAGGCATTCTCCACTGGAGGCCTTTCTTTCTCTGCTTAGCACAACCCTTGGGCATTCCAGCTCTGTCTGGCCTGCACTGTGCTTCTTTCCCTTCCTTTGGCCTCTCGCATCTTCTCATGTTTCTACCCGGTTGTCACTTGTCCATTCCCTGCTGGTAATTACCTTGTCTTTCCTTCATGTTTCTCTATACGCTCACAGTGCTTTGGTAAAAGTCCCCTGACCTTGGATGATTCTCCTTTCTTTGCGCATTATGGAATCTATTTTCCTTGATTACTTTGTTGCTTCTTGAGTTTTATAAACTTTTTATCATCTGGTGTTTGACTAACCGGAACAGATGCCCAAATTTTTAGTGTTTTCATAAGAATCATAACAACTTTTTCTTAAATATGTGAAACGTGTGGAAAATATGGTGCTCGTTGAAATTATTCAGCATATGTCCAATAAATAGGCTTTAGGAGCATATAAATGAGTTTTAAACATGGTTTTGGGGTGCACTTTAAGCATATAGCAAGGGGGACCAGATATATGCACTTATCTGCAATAAACTTATGACATGATGTATCCTGGAAGAGTCTAGGCTGTCAGAGATAGGAGAAATTACTTCTACATGGAGTACCCAAGGGAAGTGTCATGAAAGAGGAGACATCTGACCTGGAATTTTCAGTGAGACCACCAAATCCAACGGCTCTGGAAGGTGCCAGTCTCACCATGACCTATGTGAATAGCACGTTCATAGTTGTGCAAAGCCCGGCTCTGGTGGATTTAGGTGGAGGGAATAGTAAATGAAAATCATTGAAGCTGGAAAAACAGAGTGTGGCTGGAGTGTTGGGTTCTTAGCAGTTAATCGTGATTTAAAAAAAAAGGCCAGAATAGTATTCTTGGGTCATATCACAGAAAACTTGGATTGCTGCAAGGAGTTTAGTTTATATTTAGATTTTATTTATTCATTTTTTAGAGAAGCCAGCAGGAATGAAATGGTTTTTAGTCAGGGTATAAACATGGAAATTTGGGTCAAATGGCTGTGCTATTTATATTATTATTATTATCCTAATCATTTCTTTCTAGATACCGGAAGGAGGCACTGGGGATTCAGGAAGAGAACGGACCAAGACTTTCACCTATGACTTTTCTTTTTATTCTGCTGATACAAAAAGCCCAGATTATGTTTCACAAGAAATGGTATGATAAAGATATTTTCAAAATATTTATGTTGATTTATTTTCACATTGAGAAAAACATGCCTACCCTGAAATACTTTCAAATATCTTTTCAATTTCTTTCTGAATGTAATTTTTTTATAAAATAGCCTTTGCCAACTTACCTTTCTGGTTGTTATATAGGCGTATTTATTTAAGCCTGAGAAGAATCCAGATCTCAAAAGGTTGACTTTTTTTTTTCACCTCTGAGCATGATGATGATAATTTTTAATTTGTTTCAAAACTTGAACTTGGACTCTGTTTAGAAGGAGCTCCACCTATAAAGCATTTCTAGGGGAACATGTGTATGCTCTAAGCCCAGTAAAGAAGCCACTTAACCTTGAGTGCTGTTCAGTGTGGAGGGTTCGGAGTAAACCTCAAACCCAAGTCCTGTGTTCCCAGCTTGTGTGGATCATTACAGGTTTTAGAGTGGATTCTAGAAAGAAAGAATGTTGCATTCAGAATCTTTCTAGAATCTAGAATGAGGCTGAAATTTATTCAAGAAACCTGGCCTGTAGGCTTTTGAGGGCTAAAGTGTAGATGTGAAGTGGACAGGTAAGAACAGACACAAAGGAGGCCCCAGAAGCTTATCAAGACCCTGATGTTAACATTTCAGGTGAGCAGAGGGACACGTTTATTTCTCCGGGTAGGGAAAAGCTTGGTATTTGAGCAAGCTTGTCTTGTGCCAGATTTCAAAGGGAATATTTCCTGCTTTTGCCCATTCAGTATGATATTGACTGTGGGTTTGTCCTAAATAACTCTTATTATTTTGAGATATGTTCCATCAGTAACTAGTTTATTGAGAGTTTTTAGCGTGAAGGGGTGTTGAATGTTATTGAAGGCCTTCTCTGCATCTATTGAGATAACCATGGGATTTTTGTCATTGGTTCTGTTTATGTGATGGATTCCGTTTATTGATTTGCATATGTTGTACCAGACTTCCATCCCAGGGATGAAGCCGTCTTGATCGTGGTGGATAAGCTTTTTGATGTGCTGCTGGATTTGTTTTGCCAGTATTTTATGGCAATTTTCACATCAGTGTACATTAGGGATAATGTCCTGAAATTTTTTTTGTTGTGTCTCTGCCAGGTTTTGGTATCAGGATGATGCTGGCCTCATAAAATGAGTTAGGGAGGAGTCCCTCTTTCTCTGTTGTTTGGAATAGTTTCAAAAGGAATGGTACCAGCTCCTCTTTGTACCTCTGGTAGAATTCAGCTGTGGATCCATCTGGTCCTAGGCTTTTTTTTGGTAGGCTAATAATTACTGCTTCAATTTCAGAACTTGTTATTGGTCTAGTCAGGGATTCAGCTTCTTCCTGATTTAGTCTTGGGAGGGTGTCTGTGTCCAGGAATTTATTCATTTCTTCTAGATTTTCTAGTTTATTTGCATAGAGGTGTTTATAGTGTTCTCTGATGGTAGTTTGTATTTCTGTGGTATAAAAAGAACTTATTTATTTCTGCCTTAATTTCTTTATTTACCCAGTAGTCATTTAGGAGCAGGATGTTCAGTTTCCATGTAGTTTTGCAGTTTTGAGTGAGCTTCTTAATCCTGAGTTCTAATTGGATAGCACTCTGGTCTGAGAGACTGTTGTTATGATTTTTGTTCTTTTACATTTGCTGAGGAGTGATTTGCTTCCAATTATGTGGTCAATTTTAGAATAAGTGAGATGTGGTGCTGAGAAGAATGTATATTCTGTTGATTTGGGATGGAGAGTTCTATAGATGTCTATTAAGTCCACTTGGTCCAGAGCTGAGTTGAAGTCCCAAATATCCTTGTTAATTTTTTGTCTTATTGATCTGTCTACTATTGACAGTGGGGTGTTCAAGTCTCCCTCTATTATTGTGTTGAAGTCTCTCTTTATAGGTCTCTTAAGAACTTGCTTTATGAATCTGGGTGTTCCTATACTGGGGGCATATATATTTAGGATAATTAGCTCCTCTTGTTGCATTAATCCCTTTACCATTATGTAATGCCTTCTTTCGCTTTTCTGATCTTTGTTGGTTTAAAGTCTGTTTTATCAGAGACTAGGATTGCAACCCCTGCTTCTTTTTGCTTTGGATATGCTTGGTAAATATTCCTCCATCCCTTTTGAGCCTATGTGTGTCTTTGCATGTGAGATGGGTCTCCTGAATATAGCACACCGATGGGTCAATCTTTTTCCAATCTGCTAGTCCATTTCTATTCATGGGTGCATTTATGATATCAGCTGGTTATTCTGCCCGTTAGTTGATGCACTTTCTTTATAGTGTTGATGGTCTTTACAATTTGGTATGTTTTTGCAGTGGCTGGTACCAATTTTTCTTTTCCTTATTTAGTGCTTACCCTAGGAGCCCTTGTAAGGTAGGCCTGGTGGTGACAAAAATCTCTCAGCATTTGCTTGTCTATAAAGGATTTTATTTCTCCTTCACTTATGAAGCGTAGTTTCGCTAGATATGAAATTCTAGGTTGAAATTCTTTAAGAATGTTGAATATTGGCCCCCACTCTCCTCTGGCTTGTAGGGTTTCTGATCCCTGCAAGATCAGTTAGTCTGATGCTGTTAGTCAGAAGCTGTTAGTCTGATGGGCTTCCCTTTGTGGGAAACCCGACCTTTCTTTCTGGCTGCCCTTAACATTTTTTCCTTCATTTCAGCCTTGGTTACGGATGATTATGTGGCTTGAGATTGCCTTTCTCAAGGAGTATCTTTGTGGTGTTCTCTGTATTTCCTGAATTTGAATATTGGCCTGTTTTGCTAGGTTGGGGAAGTTTTCCTACATAATATCCTGAAGAGTGTTTTCCAACTTGGGTCTGTTTTCCCCATCACTTTCAGGTACACCAATCAAACATAGGTTTTGGTCTTTTCATGTAGTCCCATATTTCTTGGAGCCTTTGTTTATTTTTTAAAATTCTTTTTTCTCTAATCTCGTCTTCTCACTTTATTTGATTAAGTTGATCTTCAGTCTCTTATATCCGTTCTTCTGCTTGATCGATTAGGCTGTTAATACTTGTGTATACATCACAAAGTTCTCGTGCTGTGTTTTTCAGCTCCATTTGGTCATTTATGTTCTTCTCTAAACTCCTTATTCTAGTTAGCAATTTCTCTAACCTTTTTTTTAGTTTCTTAGCTTCCTTGCATTGTGTTAGAACATGTTCCTTTATCTCTGAAGAGTTTGTTATTACCCACCTTCTGAAGCCTACTTCTGTCAATTCGTCAAACTCATTCTATGTCTAGTTTTGTTCCCTTGCTGGTGAGGAGTTGTGATCCTTTGGAGGAGAATTGGTTTTCTGGTTTTCAGAGTTTTCAGCCTTTTTTTGTTGGTTTTTTATGATCTTTGTGGATTTATCTACCTTTGGTTTTTGCTGTTGGTGATATTTGAGCGGGGTTTCTGTGTGGATGTCCTTTTTGTTGATGTTGATACTATTTTTTTCTGTTTGTTAATTTTCCTACTAACAGTCAGGCCCCTCTGCTGCAGGTCTGCTGGAGTTTGCTGGAGATCCACTCCAGACCCTGTTTGTCTGGGTATCACCAGCGGAGGCTGCACAACAGCAAAGATTACTGCCTCTTCCTTCCTCTGGAAGCTTCATCCCAGAGGGGCACCTGCCAGATATCAGCCAGAGCTCTCCTCGTGTGAGGTGTCTGTTGACCCTGCTGGGAGGTGTCTCCCAGTCAGGAGGCACAGGGGTCAGGGACCCACTTGAGGAGGCAGTCCTATCCTTTAGCAGAGTTCAAGTGTTATGGTGGGAGATCTGCTGCTTTATTCAGAGCTGGCAGGCAGGAATGTTTAACTCTGCTGAAGCTGTGTCCACAGCTGTCCCTTCCCCCAAGGGCTCTGTCCCAGGGAGATGCGAGTTTTATCTATAAGCCCCTGACTGGGGCTGCTGCCTTTCTTTCAGAGATGTCCTGCCCAGAGAGGAGGAATCTAGAGAGACAGTCAGGCTACACTGGCTTTGCTGAACTGAGTTGGGCTCTGACCAGTTCAGACTTCCCCATGGCTTTGTTTACTGCGTGAGGGCAAAACGTTGCACTCAGTCCTCAGTAATGGTGGACGCCCCTCCCCCAGTCAAGCTCGATCACCCCAGGTTGACTTCAGACTGCTGTGCTGGCATCGGGAATTTCAAGCCAGTGGATCTTAGCTTGCTGGGCTCTGTGTGGGTGGAATCTGCTGAGCTAGACCATTTGGCTCCCTGCCTTCAGCCCCTTTCCAGGGGAGTGAATGGTTCTGTCTTGCCGGTGTTCCATGCACCGCTGGGGTATGAATAAAACAACTTCTGCAGCTATCTCAGTGTCTGCCCAAATGGCTGCGCAGTTTTGTGCTTAAAACCTAGGGCTCTGGTGGCACAGGTACCCGAAGGAATCTCCTGGTTTGCGGTTGCCGCGACTGCTGGAAAAGTGGTATTGTCTGGGCTGGAGTGCACTGTTCCTCACAGCACAGTCCCTCATAGCTTCCCTTGGCTAGGGGAGGGAGTTCCCCGACCCCTTGCATTTCCTGGGTGAGGTGACACCCCACCCTGCTTCTGCTTGCCCTCTGTGGCCTATACCACCTGTCTAACCAGTCCCAGTGAGACGAGCTGGGTACCTCAGTTGGAAATGCAGAAATCACCCACTTTCTGAATTGATCTCGCTGGGAGCTGTAGACTGGAGCTGTTCCTCTTTGGTCATCTTGCCGGCCACCAAAAGTACTTGTTTCTTGCAGCTTGAAACGTTGCCATGCATCAGAATCATCAATACTGCCTGGGAACTTGTTAGAAATGTGAAATCTCAGGACCTATTCCAAGACCTACTGAATCAGATCTGCATTTTCTTTTAGCAAGATCCCCAGTGATCTGTGTGCCCTGTAACGTTTGAGAAATATAGTCCATTTGTAAATGGTTTCTGGAGGAAGTTGGCATTCTGAGACGTGTAAATGGTAAAGGTGGAGGACTGGAGCGACTGTATGCAGAAGATACTGATTCAAACATCGGGAAAAATAGGAGCTGGGTGCAGTGTTGCACACTTGTAGTGCTACTTGGGGAGCTGAGGCGGAAGGATTGCTTGATACCAGGACAAGTCCAGTCTGGGCAACACAGCAAGGTGCTATCTCTTAAAAAATGAGGGAAAAATAGGAAGGGATGGCAGTGATGGGAATGGGAGCCTCACAGAGAGAGGTGGTGCCTGGCCTGAAAGAGGGCCTGGAAGAGGAAAGATAAACTGATGTTGGTTGAGCTTCCCTTGGTGTCAGAAACTCTGCTTGGTGTTCATATGCGCTATCTTGTTTAATCCTCACAGGAATCAAATATGTTAAAATTTAACTCTATTTTTCTTCGTTGAAGAGACTCAGTAAGTTTAAGGAACTTGCTCAGGTTTGTAGTAGACCTAATTGACTTTTAATAGTAGCAGACTTGGGCCATGGGGCTGTTGTACTGGGTGCTGGAGATGCCGTTGTAAGGTCTTAAGGATGTGGATGAGAAGGAGTGGTGTGTTCTAGATGACAGATGGATGGGGCCCCCTGTTGAGCAAATGGAGAGTGAATGAGCTAGTGAAGATGACATTAGTGTCAGAATGACTGGATTAGTCAGCATGGAAGCTAGGAATCTGCTGAGGAATAGAATGTTTTTGTTTGTTTTTGAGACAGCATCTCACTCTGTTGCTCAGGCTGGAGTGCAGTGGTGGGATCTCGCCTCACTGCAACCTCCACCTCCTGGGTTCCAGTGGGTTTCGTGCCTCAGCCTTCTAAGTAACTAAGATCACAGGCACGCCCTTCCACACCTAGCTAATTTTTGTATTTTTAGTAGAGACGGGGTTTCAGCATGTTGGCCAGGTTGGTCTCAAACTCCTGGCCTCAAGTGATCTGCCTGCCTTGACTTCCTAAAATGTTGGGATTATAGGTGTGAGCCACTGTGTCTGGCCAGGAATAGAATGTTATAGATATTGGAATCCAGATTTTGGCTTTAATATAGGAATTAGTAGGAAGTGGCAGGGGTGAGGGAATTTGTTAAGAGTAAAGCCAGCTCATTGTGGCCATCTCGAGTGTCTTCAACAAAGGACTATTGAAGAACCTTGGAGAGCTTTACTTCTAACTTACCTAATGAACTGCTAGATTTTCTTCCTGTTGAAGCTGGATTTGGGGGCTTCTGGGGATGGAGGGTTGTGCTGAAGGAAGCGTAGGGATAGAGTAGAGTTGTATGACAGCAAGGTCTGGCACCCTGGAGATGCTCAGTAGGTGTTTGCTGACCAAATGAACTTGTTTACAGATGGTGGTTAATTTATGGGAGCAGATGACATTTCTTAGGTTCTAAAGACTCAAGATCAGGATACAGTAACAAGTTTAGCTCTTTTGGGAGTTAAAAATAAATGCCCAGGGTTAAAAAATAATTTCAGATTCTGAAAAGCTCTCAGCCGATAAAGGGAACTTTAATGCTTCAGGTGTGTGTGCAGCATCTCTGCTCAGGTGCTTTGGGGTCTGTAACTCTATACAATTAACCTGAGGTCACTCTGCTCCAATACAAAACTGGAAAAGCGTTGAGCCATTTTAGTAAACACAACACTCTAGGAGATCCATTTGTTAAAACCAACAGAGAGATAGCGAAATAGCTGTTTTTAAAATACTCTGTTAAAGGGTGCTCTTCCCTCATCCCTGATTTTAATACTGGTTGTTACTGAAAAGGGCGTTAATATTGAATATTGACTAAAGTTTTCATGCTGCTGTTTCAGGCACAGGAAGTAGCTTGCTGGCAGGTCACATCCCTGCTATAAATAGGGGAAGATGTGAGTGTAGCATGGTGTGTGTGTGTGTGTGTGTGTGTGTGTGTGTGTGTGAGAGAGAGAGAGAGAGAGAGAGAGAGAGAGAGAGGGAGAGAGGGTGATTTGAATGTAAAGGCATATTGAGAAGATATATCATGTCTACTACCATAGTTTAAGTTTCCCTTAACCTTGAGCAAATACCAAGTACGGTGACCATTAATATTTTTTCCTTTCAAATTAATTTTAGAATTAGAAAAAAAATCAATGAGCAACTTAAATCTAAGTCATGTAAATTAAAGACCATTAAACAAGGTCTGTTTTTCTTAACGGTTCTTCAAAACTCCAAAGGGAGGCTTTGATCTCTCACAACCTGTTTCTTAATTCAACCCAGGAGAAACTTTAAACCTAACATCTCCCACCTGGCAAGCTAGATGAGAGTCTTTGTTTTAACAGTGCCCTCTTTTGGGCAGTTCCCCTCAAGTGAGGCCCTAGTGATGCCTTGGATTACTCCCGAAATCAGCTTTCAAGTCTGTGCTCTGACAGGCAGCAAGGTGGATTTCAGGTAACCAGGCCGGGAAGGCTCTGATGCCAGCGGGGAAGACTGCCCGTTGTCAGTCTCATAAAGCAGGCCTCTCCTCCCGCTTTGGTTGTGGGGGCTGTGCTCAGTGCATCCTCTGTGGGAGCTGTGATGAAGGTAGCTCTATTTCCTGGCCAAGAGACCTGGAGAGATGTGGGTAATGCGGGCTGCTTTCCGGGTCATAGTGCCAAGATTGGGTGGGCTATTTGAGACTCACTAAAAGTGAGTCTGAGACTGAGCCAGGCCAGGGTGTCTGCGCCTCCAGACCTGGATTTTCTAGATCTCTTTGCAGTCCTGTCTCCTGGCCCCAGACTGCCCTGAGCCCTTGAATCAGAGAACTGCCTGGGCTAACTTTCTGGGCAATGAAGTAATAGCAAAATGGTAGGCATGGATTTTAACCCTAGGGAATAATTTTATTCTGAAAACCTTTGGGTTTGGTTTAAATGTGATATTTTCCATGACTTTGGTTTAGCCCCAGGCCAAACTATGAGAAAAGATCCTTCTTTATTCTTTGAGAAGTTTTTAGAAGACTTTTTTCCTTAACCAGTGAATTCACAAAAATGATATTTGCCTTTTCTGTTTTGTTTAATCTGAGAGAATTGGGGAAATATTTAGTTTTTACTCACATTCCATATGCACTGGTGAAAATGAACCTCCACCTGGTGACTGGAGTCTTGAATGTCCCTGGGGTTCCTGACTTTTGCTTCTTAAGAGAAGTTTGGGGAGGGGCTCTTCCATGTAGGTTTGGGGCCTGGTTGTTGATTTAGAGGGTGTGGAAAGAGGACACATCTCAGTGAAAAGCAAGGCCTGGGTGAGTCCCAGCTCTGGCACTCCATGGTGTGTGTCCAGTTACCTGACCTCTCCTGCTTCAGCTTCCTCATCTGAAAAATGGGTGTTGAAACACCACTCACTACTCACCCTGTAGTGTTCTGATGAGCACACGAAAGGGGTTAGAAAGAGCTGAGTGAGTGTGAGCTGCCATTATGGTTGAGACTTGAGTAAGTCATCAGAATTTGAGAACAAGATAGAAGACTATCAACTCCTAAAGCTGAAATGGTTAAGAATTAACTCAGAATGAGTGAGACTGGCAACTTGTGGAAGTGACTCAATTGAAATGACAGTTTGTTGAAATCTTTTACTAATGAGACTGAGGAAACAAAGTCTGTAGAAGACAGTGGGAAAATGGCATCTGAAGACAGCTGAGGTCCAGTTGTCCAGTTAGCTGTATTTTCATCTTGTCCTTGGATGACAGGCTGTGTGATCAGCAGGGCTGGGTGAGGTGGAGCTGAGATGGAGGTGGCCAGGTTGATCGGCCCTGTCTAGGGTGTATGTGTTATGGCCAAGGGGAGTTGTCTCCATATGTCCACACTGATGTGGGCCATGGGCACATCCTAATGGAAAGCTGGCTTCCACGCAGGGTCCCTGTACTGCCTGTGCTGTGGCAGATGTGAGTGCTCTAGGTTGCTGCTCAAATGTTGCCATGCTTTGTAATCACATAGGGAGTTTCGAAGAATGTGGATTCCTAGGTTCACACCCCCTTAGATTCATATTTAATTGGGCTTAGTTACTGGCCTGGCCATTAGATTTTTCAAAGCTTCCGAAGTGATTGTAATGTGCTGCGAAGTTTGAGACCTGCTGCTCTTGGTTTGGCAGTAGCTGGAGATGACTTTTTGGTTGATCCGTCTGGGTCCCATGAGTTGGCTGATGTGCTGTCACTCAGACTGCGTGCTTCTGTAGGGATGCTGAGGCCTTACCTTGGATGCTGAGGCCATACCTTGGATGGTCCACCACAGAGGATTCCTTCACCTGAAGCTGACTGAGCCCCTGTTTGGCGTCTCCTCAGCTGCTGTTGTGCCTACCTCTTGAAGCAGGGAGATGCTTCATGTGCCTGTGGTGTGCTGGGCTGAGAGGACAGGAGACTGCATGAAAGCTTTGGTTGTCTCTTTCCAGCTGACTATAACTAGGAAGACTTTGAATCTTAATTAGTTTCATTTACCCTCAGTTGTCTGGGGGAAGCGTTTGTACTTCACCTCCTTTCACTACCCGCATTGTAATTATGTGGAACATTGGACGTGGATTCAGGCCATTGTAGGTGTGACCCGCCGAGCCCCACATAGCTTGTCTCCCTTCCCTCTTTATCCTGGGCAAATGTCCAAATAGGAAAAAGTGTCTAGACACTGACATGGGGGAGCCCAGCCACCCTAGCTTCATCTACACCCACCTGTCACTCACATCCATGAGTACCTGCAGAGATTGATTTAGACCCTTAAAATGATGGCATTGATTTGGCTTGACTTGGGCAGTAATTTCTGGCTGCTGTGACCTTCAGGTTTTGAATGTTTTGTTTCTGGAAGCTCTGATAGAATGAATAGCTTTATATATTCATATAATTCTAAATGGCTGATCATCACGCTTTAAAATAGGCTTTGCTTCTAAATATGATTGTCACTTGGCCTTGTTTACATTTTTATACTTCAGGATTTTTTTGGTAACCTTAAGTAGGAAAGAGGATGGGGCTGCTGTTTGTTTCCATAAAAAGTTTGTTTTTGGTTAAAAACTGTGGTATATACAGTGAATTATTTATATGGTCTAATCCTTAAAAGCTGAAAGTAGCATTCAAGAACATCGTTAACACCGAAGGGGCTTTTATTAAAATCTATCATAATGATATCTTTTGTGTGTTTTTTTTGGTTTTCAGGTTTTCAAAACCCTCGGCACAGATGTCGTGAAATCTGCATTTGAAGGTTATAATGCTTGTGTGTTTGCATATGGGCAAACTGGATCTGGAAAGTCATACACTATGATGGGAAATTCTGTACGTTGTTTATACTCTGTGGGAAGGAAATTTCTCATTATCTTTCTCTGGACTGGTAGAATTATCTCTTTTATCTATTTGGTCTACTAACTTTTCATGTTCTGATCATTCTTTAGTAATAAGATAAAATTCAGTAATACGTTGGACTGAATTTCCTTTGAGAGATTTTAAATTAGAAATAGTTTTAAGTATATAAGCATGAATAATGGATGCAACTCCCAGTTCATTTTCTGTTTTTAAAGGCCTTATAATCTTATCAAAAAAAGTGTGTTAGGCCCGTAAGTAATTTATTCTTCTTTTCTGCCAACACAACAGTTTGAATAAAATTACTGAAGTCTGTTCTTTTTTAAATTATTCAAAACATTTTTCCCCAAGAAAAAATGTAAAAAAAAAATCCTAACTCTTTGATGGAAAGGTACTACAAAAATCCTGCAAATACATTAAAAAGTTAGAATTATATAGCTTATATAGAGTTTAGATATTTATAAACACACATGCAGTTTTATAAGCTATGTAAATTAACTTATATTAATGTTATACTTCCCCCCAAAATACAGGGGAGTAAAAACTAGGAATTATTGCGAGAACTTTATGTTGTTCTGTGTTTTCTCCAGATTTAGCTTGTGCTTGTGTTTTCTTTCTTTCTTTTTTTTTTTTTTTTGAGATGGAGTTTTACTGTGTCACTTAGGCTGGAGGGCAGTGGTGAGATCTCAGCTCACTGCGACCTCCACCTCCTGGTTTCAAGTGATTCTCCTGCCTCAGCCTCCTGAGTAGCTGGGACCACAGATGTGTACCACTATGCCTGGCTCATTTTTGTATTTTTAGTAGAGACAGGGTTTCACCATGTTGGCCAGGCTGGTCTTAAACTCCTGACCTCAGATGATATTCCCGCCTCAGCCTCTCAAACTGCTAGGATTACAGGCGTGAGGCACCACGCCTGACCTGTTTTTTTTTTTTTTTTCTTATGTCATAGTGAAAGCTCTGTTCATTGCCTGGCAAACCTGTGGCATGGTTGAGATGTAGAGACACTGGTGGAATATGACTGAGGGCTTCCTGCTGGCACACATGTGGTGTCTTTAATGCTGAAGGTTTGGTAGTTCATGGAGGTCGTGTGTTAGAAAACAGATCTTTCCAGTATAAATTATTTGAACATGTAACCTCACTGCTTACATCCAGGCTTTTCCTTTACACAAGAAGTCAGTCAGTGCTGTTCAGCAAGTCCTCAATCAGAAAAGGGAAGAGCAAATGAGAGGAACACACAGCTAATTTTGGGAGTTTCACATTTCCTTTTACCATTACTTCTCACTTCCCCTTTTCCTACTGTGCCTTTGGAAAAAAATTAACTTCTAAAAGTGAAATTTTTATGTTGATTCCCTAGTATCCATTTTACATAAGTCAGACATTAATGAAGTGCTCACAAATTACAAGTGTTTTTCTCAGATCTTATAATTGAGTGCTGCTTGGGCATCTTTTCTTCATTTTAAAGTAAGAACCAAAAATACAATGTAAGATGCATTTTTCCTTGTTAAGAATTAGTACTGATTTAGTGGTACAAAGAAAAAACAATTTCTGAAACAGTCATGCTTTCTTTTGTTTTCTGGGCGTGGCGGTTGGGTGAAGGTAGGGAGGGAACGTGGGAAGAAAGCATCGGTGCTTTGAAATCTTGGTTTCCTAGCAAGATCATTTTGCCTGATTTTTATATATTCTGAGGTTCATCAGCTTTTTATGGCCGACTGAAGCATGAATATTATTGAATATTACACCCACATTGTATAAATAACATGATATATTAAAATCTTTCATCAAAGAAGGCCAGGGTAGTGATTACTCTGTCAAATGAGGGACATACCATGTGTTTTTGTTTTTGTTTTGAAACGAAGTTTTGCTCTTATTGCCCAGGTTGGAATGCAGTGGTATGATCTTGGCTCACTCCAGCCTCTGCCTCCATGGGTCGAATAACTGGGATTACAGGCATGCGCTACTGTGTTGGATTTCACCATGTTGGCCAGGCTGGTCTCAAACTCCTGACCTCAGGTGATCCACCCACCTTGGTCTCCCAAAGTGCTGGGATTACAGGTGTGAGCCAGTGCACTGGCCAGCATGTGTTTTAATGTGGTCCTGTTATCTAAGTTTTTAAGACAATTATTAACTACTGTGCAGATTACTAAGTTTTTCTTGATGTTTCTTTTTTTGCCTGGTATATATTTTTTACCTACCTTGGTCATTTGAGCATATATTTTTAATGTTTATTCTATAGTTTATACACTGTCTTTAAAAGTTAGAGATTAAATTTTCTTGTTTGTGAGCCACGATTTAATTAACAAGCTGATAACTATACGTTATCAGAGTCCCAGCATGTATAAATCAGAAGCCTCAATCATCTCATTTTAGAGAGTAGGAAGCAGTCCTGGAGGGGGCACATGACATGGGCTGTGGTAGGCCAGGGGTTGGCTCACAGGCCACTTGAGTCTAAGTTCACGCCAGCAAATTGCAAATTCAGTCCTCAGTTGCTTTTAAGTGACAGCTGTGACATTGGTCCTTCCCATTGCAGGGAGATTCTGGCTTAATACCTCGGATCTGTGAAGGACTCTTCAGTCGGATAAATGAAACCACCAAATGGGATGAAGCTTCTTTTCGAACGGAAGTCAGGTAGAGTCTGTGGCCTGAGGAACCGTGTGTGAGCTTGATTAGAGTCAGTGCTGGTTGGCTTCCATTTAGGTGCTGGAAATGGATAAGGCCTTTAGATTCTAAAGAAAAGGAGTCTTCCCTTTTCCCCTCCTGAGATTATGGTTTGGGGATAAAGCTTAAAATTTTAGTGATTTTCTTGGGTATAATTTGGATAAGGATTTGGGAGCTGATAGAAGTCACAGCTTGGTCAGAAACTAATGTAGGATATTCATTTTGGATGGAGTGAGCTTCTGACTTTTTAAGTGTATACCCAGTTACTTGCTTCATTCTTATAGCTTAGTAAGGTTTATATTATTCTGTATGTTGGTTGGATCACTATAAATCTAATCTATGAGTAAATCTGAGTGGTTGAGGTGATTTTCCCTCCTTGAAATTAAACCTGTGTGGGGAGCCAGTCTCTTTGGTAGTTTCAAAGGCAGACATGGCAATATAGGGTTCTTACACCTCCCTGACTGCTGTATAGTGTTGGACAAGTTATTTAAGTCACACTAAACCTCCCTTGCCTAACCTATAAAATGAGGATAGTAGTGGTACCTACCTCTTGGTCATTGTAGGGATTCAATGAAATAATCCGCATCAAGTGCTTAGCATGATACAGTAAGTCCTCACTTAATGTTGCCTTTTTTTTTTTTTTTTTTTGAGACAGAGTCTCACTCTGTTGCCCAGCCTGGAGTGCAGTGGCATGCTCTTGGCTCACCACAACCTCCATCTCCCAGGATCAAGTGATTCTCCTACCTCAGTCTCCCAAGTAACGGGGATTACAGGCGCCCGCTACCATGCCAGGATAATTTTTGTTATTTTTTTGTAGAGACGGAGTTTCACCATATTGGTCAGGCTGGTCTCAAACTCATGACCTCAAGTGACCATCTGCCTTGGCACCCCCCCCACCCCGAAAATGGTAGGATTACAATCATGAGCCACCATGCCTGGCCTAATGTTGCTTCTTGATACTTTCTTGGAAATTGTGACTTTAAGCGAAACAACATGTAATAAAACCAGTTCTTTTTCTCATCAACATTATAGTAACATGACGTTGAAGGAAGTGGTGTTATTTGAGGACCCACTGTATGTCCTTTCCCTAAAAGTTGCACTTTACAAGAACCTGTCAATGACCTTAAGTGAGGACTCTGTACCTCATACGTAGTCACCACTCATAAATGGTAACTGCTGTTGTCACCATTTATGTTAGCATGTTGCTGCTGTTATGTGTTGTTACTGATATTAATATCTGAAATAATTTTTTCTGAATTCAATTTTTTTTAAAACTTTTAGCTACTTAGAAATTTATAATGAACATGTGAGAGATCTACTTCGGCGGAAGTCATCTAAAACCTTCAATTTGAGAGTCCGTGAGCATCCCAAAGAAGGCCCCTATGTTGAGGGTAAGAGTGGGTATTTCACAGCCGTATTCTTTTTGGGATCTATGTAAAAATAACGCTTTCAAAGAACAAATATAGCATAATGGTAAGCCTTTAAAAATTTCTTTAATTTTGGGATTTTATTATAGTAAAAATGACATGAACTGTCACTACATGATGTTCCGTTAGTGAATTTATGCTTCACTGGGCATCTGTTGATTTTATGAGGCTTGCCAATAGATTTCCTCTGTCTTTAAGAAATCTCTGGAATTTTCTTTTCCAAATGTAAGGCAAGATAAGCAAACCCGCAGTCTGTCTCTTTAAATGGCATTGCATTTTGCGGTGTGTTTTTAATGATCCTCAAGGTGATACATGACAGTAAAGATATTCTGAACCTTTGCCTGTTAAGAAGTGCATTTGGAGGATTTCCTCTGGGTTTCAGCATTTGTGCTGTGATATGCTAGTTCTGGCACAGTCAGTTGTGAGGAGTGCTACCAGCAATGATGAGTGCAGGACTGGCCTTTGCTGGTTATTTAAGAATCGGCTGGATTTAAAGCTGTCGTTGTAATGAAGCTGATCTTTGCTCCTCTGTATAAGGCATCTCAGCATGGTTGGCCTGCAGGAATCATACATAGAGACACTCTTTCATGTTCTTCATTTGTGTCCCTGTGGATGCAGGACAGAACTGGTCACAGGTTTAAAGTTCTTTCTGGTTTTGATTGTCTTCCTTTTCTGGGAGATAACAGATATACCAACAGGACCCCAACTGTATTTTAATAAATTTCCACTTAAACTTTTGCCTTTTATGCCCAAAGCAAAGCAGGGTGTGCCAATATGTAGTCGTACTATGGCCTGTGGTATAGCTATTACTTTTAAGAGTTTTTAGCCTAACTCATGCCTTCATGTTTTCTGGTAAGTGTCTTATCATATGTTAAAACATATAAAGCTGGTATATGAAGAGACAGAATAACAAAACAGGGCAGACTTCCAGAATCTGACCTAGATACTTAGGGGAATTTAGTTTATAATTAATGTGCTATTCAAACATTAGGGAAATTATTGGAGGAATTATTAAACTGTCTGGGAGGAAAAAAAAGTAAATTGGTACCACAACTCAATTTTACACCAGGATAAATGGTAACTAGATTGAAGATTTCAAGCATCAAACATTAAATAATAAAATGACTATAAAAATCCGTGGTTAACTTTTTTCCAGAAACCTATAGGAAAGAAGACTTTTAAAAACTTGACTTAAAATTCAGAAACCATGAAATAAACTATGTAAATTTGAAATGGCTAAACAAAGAATAGCAAAATAAAGCACCATGCTTGGCAGAAACACTGTTAGCAAAGTAAAAAAACTTAATTACAAAATAGGAAAAATATTTTGAATTCAACTTTTAGAGAAAGGACTAATTTTCCTAGTATGTAAAGAGCTCCTATAAATCAGTAAGGCCAGACTCAACACCAAAGCAGAAACATGAACAGAGAATATGACTAGGCTGTTCATAGAAATAGAAATACTCATAATTTTTAAATGCAGGAAGGAATGCTTAGCCTTACTCCTACTAAGAGAAGCAAAATAAAAATACATGGAGGTAACATTTGTCACTCATCTTTGGCATATATAAATAATCCTGGTAAGACAATATTGTGGAGGGTGTTGAGAGGCAATCACTCTTATACCTTGCTACTGCTGGGTGTAAATTGCCCTATATAGAGAACAATTTTACAATAGTTATCAAAATTTCAACTACCTATTTGTCTAGAAATTCTACCTCTAAGAATTTTTTCTGTATAAACATTCACAGGCATTTGAAAAGACTTCCGTGCAAGATTATTTGTAGCAGCATTACTCATAATTGGAAATAAAATATAAACAACTCCTGTAGTTTCCATGGTTAAATTGGTCATGGTACATGCGTATGATCCAATCCCCTGCAGCCTTAAAAGTGAATGAGGAAACACCTTACCTGATACAAAATGTTCTTTAATGTATTATTACATTTAAAAGCAGGTTGCAAACTAATATTTAGAGAATGCTACCATTTGTATGTAAGGGGGAAGAGATAGTTATATATAAATATGATTGCTTGTATATATATAGGTTATTTCTAGAAGGGTGTGTAACATTTGGTTGCCTGACAGAAGGGGAAGTAGGGAGCTCTAGCATGGGGATGGGGACCCTTTACACAGTGTAACTCTGTAGCCTTTGACTTTAGAATCGTATAAATGTTCTAAAAAGGTTAATAAAACAGTTTTTAAATGATTTAAAAAATGCTTTTGGGTTTTGCATGAAAGCCGTGCTTTTACATTTGTCTTCTTTGTGCTATAACTAATGCTAATGAGGTTGATGATAATGTAATAGCTAACCTTTATCTTAAATACCTTATGTCAGAGGCCCCTAACCCCTTGGCCGCAGACTGGTGGTATGGCCTGTTGGGAAGTGGGCTGCACAGTAGGTGAATGGCCAGTGAGCGAGCGTTACTGCCTGAGCTCCGCCTCCTATCAGATCAGTGGCGGCATTAGATTCTCATAGGAGCGCGAACCCTATTCTGAACCACACTTATGAGGGATGTAGGTTGTGTGCTTCTTATGAGAATAAAACTAATGCCTGATGATCTGACGTATGGAACAATTTCATCCCTGATCTGTTCCACCCACCCCCCATCCATGGAAAAACGGCCTTCCATGAAACCGATCTCTGATGCCAAAAAGGTTGGGGACTGTGGCCCTATGTAGTAGGAACACATGATCACATGAGGTAACTGAGGCACAGTGAAGCAAAGCAGCTTGTCCATGACTGTGTCAGTGCGTAAGTCCATAACTATGTAATGACTAGTAAGCAGCAGAGCTGGGATTCGACCCCAGCCACCTAGCTCCCAGGTCTGTGTTATGTACCACCACCCTAGAGAGACAAGTGAGGTCTTCAGACAGGTCAGCACATTTTGGAGTTGTGTATTATTTCATAGAGGGTAACTTTGTATTCCATTTCCTATATATTAGGGAGATTTTTTTCACCCCTTCCATTTTGTTTTCAGATTTATCCAAACATTTAGTACAGAATTATGGTGACGTAGAAGAGCTTATGGATGCAGGCAATATCAACCGGACCACCGCAGCGACTGGGATGAATGACGTCAGTAGCAGATCTCATGCCATCTTCACCATCAAGTTCACTCAGGTAAGGGCAGCTGCGGGCCTGGCTGGCTCCATCCCTGAGGTCTTTAGTTGCTGATTAGCACCAGCTGAGGACTGATCATTGTTGAACCAGGAGCAGCAGCAGGTAAAGGTGACTGACTGTCATTTTCTTGTTAATTAGAGTTGAACATGTGCTGTGCGCTGAGTTTCTCTGTGGTTACAATCACAGTAATTTGAAATATCCTGATGTGTACCCTTAAGAAATACTTAGCAGACTTCCACCCTGTTCTAGACATAAAACAACTTGCTCTGTGCTTAATTAAGCAAAAGTTTTCATTGTTGCAAACTCTGTGGGAAATAATGGATTGCCAATCAGACCAGCTGGAAGCCAAGGTGAGTAACTCAGCGAAGTGCATTACCACTCCATGGCTCTCACCTCAGTGTTGATTATGATTATTAGAATAATATTAAAGGGTAGCGAATATTTATAAGTACTAATGTAAGAATTCATTATGATCAAGAGGTGGAGAGCATCTTGAACATATGTGGAAGTTACTGAGGATAAATATTTTAACACTGAGGCCAGTAGAACAGATGAATGGAAAAATGTAGGGTTCTGTCGAGGCCTAAGCATATGCTAGTAACTTGGGGAGGGCCTCATCTGTGTTAACAGTTGGACACACTGGATACAAAGAGGCCGTATTTTATTAATGCGGGAGATCAAGAGCAAGAAAATGAATTCTCTAAGGCCAGTCAGAACAACTCTCCTTAAATTCTCACATCCTAATCTATTAGGCCTTTCTTTTGGATTTACTCCAGATGATTGGGTTTTCTCCGGCTTTCTGGTTAGTGCCTGATTAGCATATGACCATCTCTAATTTGGTCTTTGTTTTTCGTGTGTGTGTGTGTGTGTGTGTGTGACATGTTTTAGCTCTGTTGCCCAGGCTGGAGTACAGTGGTGTGATCACGGCTCACTGCAGCCTTGACCTTCTGGGCTCAAGAGACCCTCCTACCTCAGCCTTCCAGGGAGCTGGGACTACGGATGCACAACACCATGTCCAGCTAATTTTATTTTTCAAGTTTTTGTAGAGATGGCGTCTCACTATGTTGCCCAGCCTGGTCCTGGACTCAAGCGATCCTCCCACCTTCACCTCCCAAAGTGCTGGGATCACAGGCATAAGCTGCTGTGCCTGGCCACCATTTCTCATCTCTAAGGTTTTAATTTCTATAAAAATATGGTAATTTGGGAGGGACATTTTGGTTCAAAATGTAACACATAGATCAGAAGTCTTTGAGAATATAAAATTTTGGTAGAATTCAGAAACAAGGAATATAGTATTTAAATTTTACATTAAAAAATTAATTTGTAAAACAAGATGTTTTAACGTCCGATAATGGTTGAATGCTCTTTTCTGTACTTGTCGACATTGATCATATTTTGGAGAGCTTTTGCTCCTGGAAGGCTGGGATTCTAGATGAGAATGAAAGTCATTATTTGCTTACTGATACTTCTCTGCTGAGTGCCACTCAGTGCCTGGCTTCCTGTTCTGCCACAACCTGATTCAGCAGGGCTTTGTTGAGAATGGAATGATTCTTCAGAAAGTTTAAGAATCATATACAGTAACTTCTGTTGCATTGGATTAAATCTGAGAAGTTTCTATAATCAGTACAAAGGCCAATAAAACAACACAATTGAAAAACGCTTACCCCAAGAGATCTCAGTGAGGAGTGGAAAATAATTAGAATTTGTATCATCAATAACATCAGGGCCCTTTGCACCTCTTCAATTTTATTTTTTTTGTTTTACCACAGGCTAAATTTGATTCTGAAATGCCATGTGAAACCGTGAGCAAGATCCACTTGGTTGATCTTGCCGGAAGTGAGCGTGCAGATGCCACCGGAGCCACCGGGGTTAGGCTAAAGGAAGGGGGAAATATTAACAAGTCCCTCGTGACTCTGGGGAATGTCATTTCTGCCTTAGGTATGCTTACACCCGACGGCTGCCTCCTCTTTTTCCTCCTCTTTTTCTTTATGTGTAATATTTGTGTTGCCTACTGAGGTCTATCCTTAAGGTTTTAGAAGCAAAATGAGAGGAAAAAGGTTTTACTAATTGTCCTCTTTTTCTTTCTTTTTATAGCTGATTTATCTCAGGATGCAGCAAACCCTCTTGCAAAGAAGAAGCAAGTTTTTGTGCCTTACAGGGATTCTGTATTGACTTGGTTGTTAAAAGATAGCCTTGGAGGAAACTCTAAAACTATCATGATTGCCAGTAAGAGTTTTAATTTACTTCTCCGAGTATACAAAATTTTCTGTGAACTAACTGTAAATATTTAAGTTTAAAGTGTCTTATAAGAAATAGCACCATTTACATCTTAAAAAAGTAATAGTTTTTCTATCTTGAAGAAAATCACCTACTGTGATCCTGCTGTGATCCGGGCTATAGTATCCTGTTATTAACTGTTGTATCACCTTGCCATATTTTGGAAGCTGTGATAACATGCAGGAAGACTTTTCAGCTTTTCTTTGTTTGAAGTACAAGGTAGAAACTTTGAACTTCACTACCTCATAGGAGAAAATCACAGGAACATGAAGTAAAAATAACCCAATTTTGTTTTTTTATTTAAGGCAATAAATGGGGAATTTAAAATGAAGAATTGGGAGGGGGAAAAACCCAATGCATATAACAAATAATGATAACAGTAATGTACTTTATTTCTATATTTCAGCCAATTAACTGAAAGAAGCAGAATGGAGAAAAAGTATAGAAAGGGAAGAAAATTGTTTGGGAGAAGTCAGAACTTGTTTCCCTTCTGACTCCACTTTCCCTTTCCTCTTCCCGTCTCTCCTCTTCCCTTCCCCTCTCTTCGTGTCCTTCCCACGCCCCATGCCGTGTGTTAACTATGGAGGAACAGGATCTACCCTGTGTTGTACACCTCCATGCATTTGTATAGTCACTTAAGCCTTAAAGTTGGGTGGTAGTGGTGGAGGTGGGTAAGATTAACCAAAGCTTTAAGAAGAAGAGAATAGAGTGATTTAGTGACTGTTTTCAAAACTTATTGTATTCTTTTTATTTTTTTTTTTTTTCCAGATGGTAGACTTTGCCAGAACTTTTAAAAGTGTTTGAATTCCCACTTAATGATGAGATGACAAATAGTCTCAAAACCTTACATTTTTAGCAGGGAAAACTACCTAACTACAGGGGAATGTCTCATATCTCATTTTAAACTTGGTTAGGTGGTTGATTCTAGATTCAAGAAGAGCAAAATGACATTTCATTTTGTATTGTGAGCACTCTTTCCTAGAAATCTTAGATAATTTTTCATATTCATTACTGTGGCAATGAATATTTAGTCTATCCAATGACCTGGGGTTAATCTGACTTTTAAATTACCAACCAACTTTGTGCTAAATGAAACATGGAGTGCTGGATAAATTATTTTTTGAATACATTCTTCACAGCCATTTCACCTGCTGATGTCAATTATGGAGAAACCCTAAGTACTCTTCGCTATGCAAATAGAGCCAAAAACATCATCAACAAGCCTACCATTAATGAGGACGCCAACGTCAAACTTATCCGTGAGCTGCGAGCTGAAATAGCCAGACTGAAAACACTGCTTGCTCAAGGGAATCAGGTTGGGTCTTTCTTAGATTTATGGATAATTTTCTTTGAGTAATGGCATCTATTTCTAGATCTTAATGAGACAATTTTCTCACTCATGCTATTGATTTGAGTAAATAAGTGCTGAGTAGAGCTTTGAATGCGTTGGCCAGTCCCTGGTTTACATCAACCTCTTTGTGGCCTTTGCATTCATTATGGGCTACTGTGTAAGATTTTATCCACTAAACCTGAAATGATTAACTAATAGTTATCAATTATGGCTGGAAAACTTAGTATGCAATAGGATTAATGGCATAATCTCTTTAAGTGGGAAGAAATTGATATGCTTAGAGTAGTATTTAAAATTTCACCCATGTATTTTATGACTTCAAAATGTGTTTTAACAGAATAAAAGACTGTGTGAACACCTTTCTGAATGACTGTATCATGTCACCTATTAGAGAGGTGGCTCTGATGGCTCAGGGATGCATGTGACCTGGCTGAGATGCGGCCCGAGTCCCTCGCTTCATTGTTGAAATGGCCTCATTTTAGAATCTGTTGGGACTCTAGTGAGGATTCCTTGTCTTTGTGATTTTCTCAGTAAGCTTCCTGTTTGTCTGCATTGTGTATGTACAGAGTTACATTCTGTGATAAATGGTGGAACCATCTAGTAGGCTTAGATGTTGCCGTGAAGAAAGACAACCTGTGAAAGAAAATGAAGGATAACTTTTTAAAATGTTGAAATTAGACTGGAGTTACCCTGTTTTCTTAACTCATGAATGGATGTGTCAAGTATATCATGAAAAGAAATACTTTTCTCTATGTGCAAAGTGGTCCCTCTGGAGCAGTGCTTTCCATGTAGGATTATGTGGCACTTGAAGCTCTTGACATCCCATAAATGTTTTGAAAATATTGATGGAATGAAAACCTCACTGAATTTCCCATGTCCTGAAATGTACCTGGCAGTTCTTTCCCACAGGATGGCAGACAGCAGTTGAAAAGGAATTGTTCACTGTGCTTAAAAATATCTCCACTAATTAAAATATATATATGTATCTCCAGATGCATTTTATTTGATGGTATGGAGCCTCCCTTGTATGAAAGGAAGTTGTCAGAATGAAGAGTCCAGCTCCATGTGACCCTTATAACATGAACATGAACCACAATAGTCATTTTTATTTATACACCTTGTTATTGGAATCTTTTTCTTTTCTTTCTTTTTTGTTTTTAAGATGGAGTCTCACTCTGTTGCCCAGGCTGGAGTGCAGTGATGTAATCTTGGCTTACTGCAACCTCCATCTCCCGAATTAAAGTAATTCTCATGCCTCAGCCTCTTGAGTAGCTGGGATTACAGGTGCCTACCATCATGCCTGGCTAATTTTTTTGTAATTTTAGTAGAGACAGGATTTCACCATGTGGGCCAGGCTGGTCTGGAACTTTTGACCTCAAGTGATCTGCCTGCCTCGGCCTCCGTAAAGTTCTGGGACTACAGGTTGGAATCTTGTTCAATGTTTTTTAAACATTGTTTATATAAAGTAAGAATTTAATGGTGATTTGATTGGATCACTCAAATTACTACATGTGAAGGAAAGCATTTGGAAAATTCTAGGTGCAGCTTCTTGTTCTTAACTTTTTATTAGGTTGAAAGAATGCAGGCAAAAAGAAAGATCTTTTTTAAACTAAACTGAGGAACTCATTGGAAGAAACCTTACATAGACAGAAAACCTTTAATTTATTAAAACTTTACATTTTCTCTCTGAAAAATGTCTTCAGAGGTATTGGTATGCCATATAGTTGCCTTATATTTTATAGTCTTTTCTCCTGTTCCTTTTATGACCTATTACCACTGCTGTATTTAGGGAGTATTTTTGTTGCTGTAATTTTGGGGATGAGGATGGAAAAGACAGTTAAGTCTATATTAGAACACATTGCAGATAAAATTTTTGATACATAATGTATTACAATAAAATGCGAATTCAATTTAAAATAATTTATTGTGCTATGAAGCTATAAATCATTTTGAGACAATATAGGCTTATCCTAAATTAATTAAATTTGTGATGCTTAATAAAAACAGCAGGTGTTCTTAAATGCCCATTAAACATCTCTGTATCCATTTTTCTGGGAGTATTGCTCTATTCCTAGAATATTCTATTCGAGGTATTTCTGTGGTTCATTGAGAATATTATTCATATCTAAGTTTCATTTCGAGGGTTATTTTTTTAAGCACAGCTAAATGAAAATCAGCTTCTACTTTTAATAATTTTCTGTCTTTGCCATTGCAAAGAGTCATGTGCATCAGTCTTTAAAGCACCATTTTAGTAAAGCAAAAGATCTTGACATGTATTTGATTCTTCTATGCAGATTTAGATATGTGGATATATGTAGTAGTTTGTATATGTGAATTTTTATTGAGGTATTATATATACCAAAAAATTGCAAGTTATATGTATATAGTTCAGTGAGTTTTCATAAGCTAAATTCACCCATGTAACCTGTTTCTACCTTAAGAGGCAGTCCAACACTAGTACCCTGGAAGCCCCCCACTTAATCCTTCTTTTCAGGAGCTACTCCCCTTTCTCTCAAGGGTAGCCCCTGTCCTGACCTCCACAGGCCTTGTTAGTTTTTATTTTTGCCTGTTTTTGTTCTATATGTAAATGAAAAATATTCACTCCTTTTATCTCACTTCTTTCAGTCAATGTTATGTTTGTGAGAGTTACCCATGTTGTTTTGTGTAGTAGTAGATTCATCTGTTCTCACCGCTAAGTTGTCTTCCGTCATACAAACATGTTGCAGCTCATTTGTCCATTGTACTTTCGATGGGCATTTGAGGGATTTCCTATTTGGGGCTGTTCGTGCTTTGTGGACTTTAGATGTCTTTCAGTTAACATATAGCTACATTTCCGTTAGATTTATGTCTACAAGTGGAATTGATGAGTGAGAAGGAGTGCATATATTCAGTTTTAGTAGATATTGCCAAGCAATTTTCTAAAAGTAGTTGTGCCACTTTATAGACCACCATAAGTGTATAAAAGTGCTGGTCCAGATCTTGGCAACACTTAGTATTGTCTAGTTTTCATTGTAATCATCCTAATGGATGCATACCAGAATCACAGAATAACTTTACTTTCTACTTCTCAGGCAATTGATAAAGCTGGATATTTGAATATCTTCTTTTTTCAAGTGTTCTCTTTTATTTTATATATATATATATATATATACACATATATATATATATAAATAAATATAATTTTTTTTTTTTTTTGAGGCAGAGTTTCGCTCTTGTTACCCAGGCTGGAGTGCAATGGCATGATCTCGGCTCACCGCAACCTCCGCCTCCTGGGTTCAGACAATTCTCCTGCCTCAGCCTCCTGAGTAGCTGGGATTACAGGCATGCGCCACCATGCCCAGCTAATTTTTTGTATTTTTAGTAGAGATGGTGTTTCACCATGTTGACCAGGATGGTCTCGATCTCTTGACCTCGTGATCCACCCACCTCAGCTTCCCAAAGTGCTGGGATTACAGCGTGAGCCACCGCGCCCGGCCCTCTTTTATTATATTTTAAACATATTTTTAGATCTTTCTGCATTTAATTTGGCAGAGAGAAAATATCTCTTGACTCCCTCATGTCTCTTGAATGTATCTGGAGGTAACAAGTAAATCAAATGGTACAGAAATGAAAAACAACCCGAGATGGGAAGCAAAGAAGATGATAGGAAGGGAAGATGAAAGTAGAATGAATCATGCACTTTTGTAGCTGAGGTGAAAGACAAATTTTAAATAATAAAAGTATCATTACATGTAAACTTTTAAAGAAGACACATCTCGGATAGGCTCACAAAGTAAAATTAAATTATATGGTGTTTTTAAGAATGGATAAAGGCTTACCAGTGAATTCAAGAGGAAAGACAGTGGTGCAGAAACAGCATTGTGTGAGCTCAAAAAAAGAGCACTTTATCATGACAGAGGGTGCAACTCACAATTAAAATCAGACGTGACATCAACTTTCGTAAGTGAAAAAAACAACAAAACTGTTCGAAATAGCAGGAGACAGAGCCACAAGTGTTTGTCACAGGAAACTTTAACTCTTCTTTCTCATTCTGTGGAAGCTCATGTAGACAAAAGTAAAGACCTAGCATATTTACATAACATAATGAAAATTTGCTCTAATCAGTACAGACTAGGGAAAAGATCGCTGTTCATGAGACAAGACTACCTTCTTTATTAGGAAAAGAGGTTCTGTGAAAACCTGAGACAACACTACAAAACAGCAGGAAAGGGAGCAAAGAATGCGAACACAGTCCACAGAAAGAAAGAGTTTCAGATGCTTTCTGTACCTATGAAAGTATGTTCAGTGTCACTGAAATATAATAAATGCAGATTTTAAGAATAGTTAAATGGGTATATGTATACATGTTCATGGGTACATCAAGCAGTGGACCTTAGATTTATGTATTTAGCTGTGTGTAAATGATACCTCCAAATTCTTTAAAAGCAGGATGTCCTTTCACCTGTTGGGCAAGAGCAAAATTGATCATACAGTATGTTGATGATATTGATGGGGGGTGAGGCAAGGGGCACTTGTGTACATTGTTAGTAGAATTGCCATTATTACAGTTTTGCAATAGTGTTTTTGAGGTAGTGTTACTCTTGATTTAACAACATATGAACTTAGTCTGAATATTATTTGATTCGGAATGTTTTTCTTCTAAAAACACACCTTGCAAAGAATAATTTAATTGAAAATGGTACTTTTATAAACGATTTGTTTTCAAAGGATTTGGGAAGGTTGTTCTTTACATGTACTTAAAAATAATGTTCCAGAAGGGCTGGTGGTCATGAGTCTTTGTGCTTTTATTCAGTCAGTGATTATCTACTGACTCGATAATGTGGCAGAAATGTTTCAGCTTTGATTGTCAATAAAAAGTCTCAACAGTGGGTTCTGTAAAATTACCCACGTTATAAAGGGCTTTCTAATTGTTTTGAAAATTGTCAACCACATATAAACAATGCAGTAATACTAACATCTGCCACTTTCATTTCTTCAATGAAAAATATTTATTGAGTACCATCTGTGTGCAAGACAACATGTTAGATCCAATGATGCATTGTAGTAATGTGCTAACAAAGCTCCCTTTTCTTCACTGAGGATGGTTTGACCTTGGGTTAACTTTCTGGCTTCATTCTATGCAAATCAGATAAAAGTGGGATGACACCTGTCTAACTAGGCAACATTTCTAATGATGAAAATGACCCCTAATTGGAGAATTACATCTGGATTAGGATGAACTACATATATACTGTTAACTTCTGCTGAGAAGCCGTAGCTTTGGGTTTCCTGGAGGGCAGTGACTCTTGTAAAAGGGTGTATCCCTTGTGGGGACCCTGGAAGATGTGCCTATGGCATTTTTAAAAGAGATACTGGGTCCTGCAGGCATGGGCTTCTAACCAGGGGTGGGTCTCACAGATGAGCATGTGAATCTCGACCCCTCACATATGAATGGTTACTCAGGAAGGCCAAAAACAATAGCTCAGGGACATCTGTGAGGACTACTGCACAGTGTGTCACAAAGACCTTGCCCACCAAGATGAACACCTATGCTCCCTTCTGGCCGGCTCAGCTTTCTGTTCAGTACACAGATGCCAGGTGTGGCCCACAGTAGTCTTTGTAGTTTCAAAGTTTGACTGTGCCTAAGAAGACCACCTTGTGGGGGTTTTTGTTTGATGAGAAATTGAAAAGTAAATAGGTCTTTAAATAAATGCTGCCATATCTGGGGAGGACAATTTGGCAATTATAAAAAATAAAAACCATACATATAGATGACTCACAAATTCTTCCCTAGGAATTTATTCTATTGATAGAGCCATGTATACTGTAGGCAATGGGCATAACGATAGTCCTCCTAAAAGATTAAGAAAAATACATTAATGTTAATAGGAGAGCACTAACACAAATCATAGAACATCTATACAGTGAAATATTGTGTAATGGAATTGGAATTGTTAAAAAGAATGAAGCAGTTTTATTTTTACTGAATTTTCTCCAAGATATATTGTTCAGTTAAAAAGGTAATATCCAGAACAGTGTTTTTATCCCACTTATATTTAAAAACACAACAAAAACATGCTTGCATATGACCAGACTAACTGTAAGTTTACACAACCAAATTGGGAAAAAGTGATTGCCCGTGGGTGGGTGGGAGGGATACTCTCTGTCTTTTTTCTTCCTAGGGATCTCTTAGGCCATGAGAAAAGGAGGCAGAATATGAAGCAGTGTCCCTGCCACTCAGGTCAGGGAGTCACATGTTGCGAGTGCAGTTGAGGCCCCATCCTTGCTCTGTTTCCCTCTCCTGTCTCTGTCTGCTTGTCCTGCTCGGTTCTAAACTGATTTTGGTATTTATCATTCTCACATCAATCTTTACACTTCTTCGACAGGGATAAGGAAGTTGATCTAGAGACTGTCATGTAGCCACGCCATATGGGGTGTACCATCAGCAGTGAAAATAAATGCGTTTCATTTTCATATATCAACAAGGACAAATCTCGGATGCCTGCGGTTGAGCAAGACTTAGGCATCACCCCTTTTGAATGTTGTACTCTGTACATATTAAAACAGATGAATTCTTAAGGTCTCGGGATTTAGATTGTGTTTGATTTTGGTAAAATGTCAGTATGTTACATCTTTTCCTTTGCTGATTTGTATTGCCAATGTAGGTTTACTGGGATGCCATGGTTTTGAATATTATGAGATGTATCCCATGAAATAAAGACTTGGTGATAATCAACGCTTTTTGGCAGGGTGTAGGACATTACTTTTTACTTTTAGTAGTTGCTGTGAAATTTTGGATAATTTACTCTATTCAGGAAAAAAATCTCCTGGATAATTGCTGTTTATTAATTGCTGATTTCTTTATGGTTTATATTGTAGATTGCCCTCTTAGACTCCCCCACAGCTTTAAGTATGGAGGAAAAACTGCAGCAGAATGAAGCAAGAGTAAGTGATACTTTGACTTATTTGTTAAAATAGTGTCTTTTACTATTATTTTAAGTGCATGCTTTTTTCGGACTCATTTGAGATGCCTTCTTCTTCTTTACTGCACTTAGCCTCCTCCCTCCTTGGCAGTCATTTTGAAAGAAGCATAATAGATGACTTTTTATGTATTGCAGCACGTTCTCTGCAGTTAAATAAATGGGATTTGTCTGGCGCACGGTTAGTTGCAGTTAAATGGACATGCAGATCCTTCAAAGCAGTGAGGCTGCTCAGGTCATCGGAGTTGACTGGAGCGAGGCTGTGTTTTCCTGAAACAGTGGTGGTCCCCATGGCCTCACAGTGACCACCCTTCAGCTTTTTGTTGTTTCCAGTGGGAAGAGTGGCACCTGAGGAATCTGATTACTCTTGTTAGGTGCTTAGTTTCCGTGAAGCTAGATGAGATTTGAGATGGGAGAGGGTGACACTGAGTAACCAGAAAGAGAAGAGCTCTGGAGCTGTTACTGGCTGAAGCCAATGTGTGTGCTCCTGCCTTTGAGAAACCAGTTTTATGGCTGACCTGCTTTCATACTTTATTTTTTTTAAACTTCTGTGAAAAGAGAAACAGACATTCGAGCAATTTTTGGAGTTGATTCTGTTCATGGTGCTGAATGGTTAAAACAGATTGAAAAAGAAAATTGGATTCTGTTGGTAAAAGCTTTTTCAAGAATACACAATATGGAAGATAAAAATTGGGGTGTAGTTAGGAACTTGCTGACATATCTAGGATAATTATGCTGATTAATACTGTTAGTATATTACCGGATAATAATAGTAAATACATTAATTTCTTAATCCTTATTTTTAAATGAAATTTTATGTATTAGTGCTTCAAATTCGAATCTGGAGTTCTGCAATTTAAACTGTATTTGGATATAGTCTGAAATTATTTCTTAACAACAGTTTTCATGAATACAAAGTAAGTTAATGAAACCAATAAACATATTAATTTGAATGTATTATACATGCTGTGACAGAAATGCCTATCTTGTTTCTAACATTTTCAAAATTATCATCTAGTGTTTTTGCTGACCCATTTTAATTGTTTGCAATTTGCTTGCATATAAATGTCATCTGTTAGAAGTAGCACGTTTGCATTTTTTAATTAATGTTTTAAGTGGTTATTATTTCATTTAAATATAAATAAAATAAATCAAAGACATACTTACTTTTTCTAAGCTAGAATTGTTTGAATTCAGAAAGGATTGATTTGCTCACATTTCCTCAATGAGAAACCTATCTGTTGGTGAAATGCAGGGCCATTTATTGTTGGATACTTTGTGTTCTCACGTAAATTGCCAGTGACAGCCTGTTAACTGATGAGTATAGATTAGTAAATTCAACACACCAGGCTTTTCCCCTTCTGGAGGGGGAGAAGGCATAAGAATAATCCTTCTCTGAAACCTTTTTTTTTTAGACAGAGTCTCGCTCTGTCACCAGGCTGGAATGCAGTGGCAGGATCTCGGCTCACTGTAATCTTTGCCTCCTGGGTTCAAGCAATTTTCCTGTCTCGGCCTCCCAAGTAGCTGACAATAGGCGCATGCCACCATTTCCAGCTAATTTTTGTATTTTTGGTAGAGATGAGGTTTCACCATGTTGGCCAGGATGGTCTTGATCTCCTGACCTCGTGGTCTGCCCCTCGGCCTCTCAGAATCCTGGGATTACAGGAATGAGACACTGTGGTGGGCCCCCTGAAAGCTTTTTCAAAACACAAAGCCAGGAGAGCCTCATGACTTATTGCTGTCAGGAGTCTGTATGGTCGGTATCACTCAAGTGATGAAATGAAGGCCTGGAGTGTAGAACTGGTTTAAGATAAATCAGGACGGTTTTACCAAACCAGTGAAAACAAGCAGGCTGGGTGCAGTGGCTTACGACTGTTATCTCAGCATCTTGGGAGGTGGAGGCAGGAGGATTGCTTGAGCCCAGGAGTTCAAGATCAGCCTGGGTGGCTGATGAGGCCTCCTCATTACAAAAATACAAAAATGATCTGGGTGTGGTCGTGTGCACCTGTAGTCCCAGCTCCTCAGGAGGCTGAGGTGGAAGGATCACTCGAACCCTGAGAGGTAGAGGCTGCACAGTGAGCCATGATTAGGCCACTGTCCTCCAACCCAGGCAACAGAATGAGACTCCATCTCCAAATAAACCCAAAGACAACACCAAGCAAACAAGCAAAACACAGAGTTAGGGAGGCTCTTCCAGTCCTATTTCCTTTGTTTTTCATCTAGAAGGTGATAGATTTTGGCACTATAACTAGTAAAAGAAGTGACATTATTATTATTAATATTTTTTTTTGAGTTAACTTACAAGTCCCACAGTCTTATTTGAGGTAAATTGAGGACCCCTGAATGATTGATTATAGGTGAGTGAGATATATTTCGGTTTTCCTCTTGGATAAACCATCACTGCCGATACTTGTCAATAACTGATAATATTTTTCATTAATACCCTTTCCAGTTGCTATCTTAGGGGCACATAGAAAGTTACTTTATCTTAGCAGTGAGAGTACAAGTAGATGTATTTTGTGCACTCATTTTGTTCTGATTAAATAGGGAAAGTTCCTGCGGAGACCAGGTAGCTTTAATGGGAGGGTGTCTGCTGCTAGGAGCGAGGAGGTGGCAGGAATGATAAAGATGGCGAAAGGAAAAGGCTTGGGAAGGATGAGTTCTCCCGTTTCTGAAGCTACTCTCTTGTAGACCTTGGTCTCTTCCTTTCCACAAAACACATTTTTCATTCATATTTTTTCTACCTCTCAGTTATCACTTTTTGTTTCCTAATGAATTAATTGCTAGGATCATTTAAAAAGTTTTAGGGAACTAACAAAATATTTCCATGAACTTTGAGAAGCAGTTTCCAACTGTGCTGTGTTCAACAGTTGAGCATATTTTCTCCCCTCAGTCAGAGCCAACTGGAAAGAAGTGATTTTTATCAAAAGATTTTTGCTTTTACTAAAAGAGTCAATTAAAGAACCACCTTTTAAAAACCAAAGATAGAATGAGATTTATAAGCTCTATTAATTAGCTCCAACAGCAAATTATCTCCTAAAGGAAAACTATAGCATCCAAGGTGATTTAATCACATCTAATTAGAAATAAAAATAAATTACTATTTTTTAGGACCTAAAGGATAATCATGAAAAATTAACCCATTTAATGGGACGTTATTATCCTCGAACTTGTAATTTTGGTAAATAATCCAAGGGAGCAGCTTTTATTTAAGTTCACCATGAAAAAGGCTGTTGTGAAATTCTAGGCAAATTAACAAATTTCTGTCTGTTCTTTCCTTGGCCATAATATAGGTTTTAGCATGAAATCAGCTTTTTTGATTTATCTTTGGTGATGGTTCTTTCAGGGGTAAAAGTTGCTGTCTCATTTAAAAAATTATAGTACATCTTTCCATGAGATATTAGAATTTGGAAATTATTTAGAAGAAAATTATAAACTTTATGAAGTGCTCACATATCTATATTTTTCTTTTTAGGTTCAAGAGTTAACCAAGGAATGGACAAATAAGTGGAATGAAACCCAAAATATTTTGAAAGTAAGGACTAAAAAACTGTGTTCAGTCTTACTATGCTGGATTAAACTGGTAAAACTTTTTTTTTCTTTTTTTAATCTCCAAACATGGCAGTGATATGCTTTGATAAGGTAAGATCACTGGAGCCAATTAGCGACTTTCATGGGATGGGAGTTCTGGTTTGATTTTGAGGAGCTGAGAAAGAAGGCTGTTAGACATTATGGCCGTGTGTTTTAAAAAGTACAGATTATACTGATTTTTAAGATGTTTGCCTTTACCTGTTGGGGTTTTTTCCATTTTTGACTCAGCACATATTAGAACTCTACTTAATATTCAAGAATATCCACTTTGTCTTTCTGCTTCTGTTAAAGCCAATATCAAAGCAACACATTAAATGAAAAAGAAATTCCCATGGCAATATTATAGAATATGCTTGCATAGCATGGCTAGATTTCAGAAATTTCAAAGCTACTAATTTCCTATCAAAATATTTTTCTGCACATCTCAAGGACTAGACTGGGATGGCCTGTGTTTCTGGCAAGACTCAACTTTGAACAGATATGAGCAATAGCCTCCATTTATCATAATGCTTCAAAATACAAGTTTCTTTTTGTTCTTATTTTTTGCTGACTTGGTAGAAAACCTCTTTCATCTGTTAAGAGTCAGCCATGCAGATCTGAGACACAAATTTGAATTTTGTGCTTTGTTGGTATCTGGCTGACTTTGTGCACAAGAGACAAGAATTCAGAGGCTATTGAATTGAGGTTTGTTTTTGACGTCTTTTGAGGTAACACTTTCCCAAAGAACAGAAATCTCCGTCTGATACTGATGAGACCAGACAGATGAGGTATGACTGAATGTCTTGGCAGAATCCTAACGTGGATCAACTTCGTGTGAGAGTGGCACATCTAGTTACTGTTTCACAGGGTGAGCTTCTGCGGCCTTGGAGCTGCAGGTGAGGTCTGCACCTGACAACTGTTTCAGAGTGCAGGCTCAGCATTATATTATGTAATCGGCTCCTTGCACCATTTAGGCAACTTGGCTTGCTCTGGTGTTAGGAAGATTGTATCTCACGAGATCAGAGTTTGTGCTTAGGTGTTAGATGATGGTAGGTTTTGATGGTCCTAGAGATATCCTTCCTAGCTACTTTTGTACTGCAAGAAGTGAGGGTTTCTGCATTCAGACTTTTCTCTCTTTCTGATTACAATAATGATGACATATTATTTTGAGGTACTTCTGCAGTGTTTCCTTTGTTGAGAGATTTTTGTGCAGAAAACTGAGCAAAGACTTCATTCATATTTCAGATTAGTCAGATGTGGAGTAGGTTCACCAAAGATTGAACTTGGTTGTTATTTAAGTTATATTCACTCTAAGAGGTGTTGGTGCCTCAGTCCCTGAAGCCCAGGTCATTTGACTTTCCACGATACCATGTAACGTTGCTCAGGAAATTTATCAAAGAGGGAGGACTAAAATCTGCTCTACCTAAGGAAGAAAAGAAATCAAACCATTGGCTATTTGAAAAGTCATTACTAGAAGTAGTGCCCATTAGCACAGGAGGCCGTGCAGCAAGAGAGGAAAAGCTGGAGGCGCGGTCTCTGCTACTACAGCACCCCCATGTCACTGCAGTAGGCCCTTTATAACCTTTCTGTAGAGGCGTCCTGAACTTTTTCTTATGCTCTTTCTTAGGCCTCTGAGGTTAAATCCTCCTTCAGTTCCAATCCTTTTTTAAAAAATAGATCTAATTATTTTATTTTTTGTGACTTTTCATAGGCGAAGGAAAAAAATGTGATGTGTGCTAGGTGTTAAATGTTATGAGAAAGGAGAATGCACTTTCTTTTTTTTTTTTGAGACGGAGTTTCGCTCTTGTTACCCAGGCTGGAGTGCAATGGCGTGATCTCAGCTCACCACAACCTCCACCTCCTGGGTTCAGTCAATTCTCCTGCCTCAGCCTCCTGAGTAGCTGGGATTACAGGCACACACCACCGTGCGCAGCTGATGTTTTGTAGTTTTTAGTAGAGATGGGGTTTAACCATGTTGACCAGGATGGTCTCAATCTTCCGACCTTGTGATCCACCCGCCTGGGCCTCCCAAAGTGCTGGGACTACAGGCTTGAGCCACTGCACCCGGCTGTGAATGCACTTTCGATGTTTTTCCCTTTCTCGGACTTACTAGCCTGTGTTAGACTTCTCTGCTGGTATATGTGCTTTAAACCTGCAGTTATTTTCTGCTCATGTTTGATGTTTTAAGGGCTGCCTTAAACCCTTATTGGAAGGCAGCGCCTTCTAAGGTGAAGAGGAGAGCTACTCAAATGTTTTTTGTGGAGGCACCGTTTAGAAACTGATTGTTAGTTGTTGGGTTTGCATCTGTGTGGTTTATGTGACCCTTTCCCATATTTCTGCTGTTTGTGTTCTGTCAGTTGTTGTTCAGTAAGGCCACATAAAACCCACCCCAACTCAGTGGCAGTTTCCTGAGTCACGTGCTCATATTCCCTGTTTCAGTTATGAGCCATGAGGTTGGTTTATTGGCATGCATCATGAGGAGTGGCTGCAGAAACCGCCTCTCACGGCAGGGCAGGAGGCTGAAGTCAGTGGGTAGGGCACAGGTCCATTGACATCAGAATTACTCTTGAAAATTCCTTAAATTTCCCTGGAAATCATGAGATGCTAAGCTCTTGGCTACTCAGAAGCATGGAGTGACGTTGTTCCCTTCTTCCTATATCTGGTCTGTGGCTTCCCTTGCCCTGGGTGAGTGGAATCCACGATCCTGCTGAATGAAGATGGAGGGAGAGGGAAAGACTAAGACTGCCGGGTGGGTGTGAGCCCTGACAGCAGGCACCGGCGGCAGCAGAGCTGGTGGCAGCATGGTCATCGTGGCTGGAGCCTTGGGCTTTGATCTGCAGAACTCAAAACTTGGATCTTAGTCTTCAGTTCTGTTTTGGACTCACTGGGTCATGGCACTCAACCTTAACTGTCACATACCCTAGTCCCTAGCTTGGAAATCACAGTGGGTGGTAACCTCTTCCTTATATCCAAGTTAACAGAGGAAGAGAAAATAAAGTTCCGAGTTATTGTGAAAGTAGTTGACAGTAGAACATGTGTTTATCTTAATGAGGCAGGTCTTAGACAGTTGGGTAATGAGAGAGAGTTTTATTATCCTGTGTGGTGTACTCTGGCTTCACTCTCTTGCCCCTTAGCCGACCTTCCTCATCTTTATTACTTTTCATTTTCTAAAGTCCACACATCTTTGCCTGGCCCCTACAGGCACTAATCTCCTTGTCGGTGTCATTTGTCCTAGTTTAGTCCTCTCTGTGCCTGCACTCCTGGAGTCCCCACCCCACCCTGCCGGAGGGCTTGCTGCTGGTCGGTGTGTGCACCAGGGCTGTGGGTTTCCTGCTGTCTCGTGTCCTTTGCCTGTGTCACTCCATCATTCAGGATGTGTCCCTTTCTATGCCTCTATGAAAATCCACCTTGAAGCCCCCTCCCTTGGTCACTCCTCCTCCCCCGGCTTCCCAGTCGGGATGAATTTTCTTTTCCTCTGTACTTCTGCAGCATCTGGTTTTGCTTCTGCCCCAGGATTCTTTGTCCTTTGAATCAGGTGGTATTGGTTTCTTCCTCTTTCTGCCAACTCTTACACACAGAAAAACAGAAGCAGGATCTGGCCAAGGACTGTCTCGTTATCATTCTGCAAGCCAGCTCCTAGCACTCTGCTTCTCATAGAGCAGGCATGTGGGAAAAACTTATGGGATTAGGTTAGTATCAAGAAACAAAAATAAAAACCTTTGTATTAATCTGCTAGGGATGCCAAAACGAAATACCACAGCCTGGATGGCTTAAAAAAATGGACTTCTATTTGCTCTGGAGGTTGGAAGTCCAAGATCAAGGTGCTGGCAGATTTAGCTTCTCCTGAGGCCTCCCTCCTTGGCTTACAGATGGCCCTCTCTTGTCTGTGTCCTCATATGGCCTTTTCTTGTGTGCCTGCAACCTGGTCTCCCTCTGTGTATCTTAGGCTCCTCTTCTTTATTTGTTTGTTTGTTGTGAGATGGAGTTGCGTTCTTGTTGTCCAGCTTGGAGTGCAGTGGTACAATCTTGACTCATTGCAACCTCTGCCTCACATGTTCAAGTGATTCTTGTACCTCAGCCTCCCTAGTAGCTGGCATTACAGGTGCCTGCTATTTTTTGTCTTTTTAGTAGAGATGAGGTTTCACCATGTTAGACAAGCTGGTCTCTAACTCCTGACCTCAGGTGATCCACCTGCCTCGGCTTCCCAAAGTGCTAGAATTACAGGCATGAGCCACCATGCCCAGCCTAAGCTCTTCTTCTTATAAGGACACCAGTCACATTGGATTAGGACCTCCTGATATTCTCATTTTAATCCCCTTAATTAATTAAGTTTAACTTAATGAAAGACTGTACCTCCAAATACCGTCACATTCTGAGGTACTAGGGGTTAAGGCTTCAACATGAATTTTAGGGTGACATAATCCAGCCCATAACTACAGCCCAGAACCCTACAAATCTGGTGACCCAGTGGGCAGAGTGACAGGGAGTGTTGAGCAGGCATAGGTCCTTCCCCAGTCATGCTCTTCGCTCTTTTTCATCTTACTTCCTCCTTCCTACTAGAAAGGCTCATGTGTGACTGTGCACTTTTATTCTTGGAGGGAATATGACTGAAGGACAGCTCAGTACTTTATTTGGATCAGTTAGATCCTTACTGTTCAGAGTGTAGTTCATGGATAGCAGTGTCAGCGTCACCCAGGAGCTGGTTAGAAATGCAGGTCCTCAGGCCAGACTCCAGACCTCCTGGATCAGAATCCACATTTTAATAAGACCCCCAGGGGTCAGGTCTGCACCTTCAAGTTTGAGTGCTAATTTTTTTTTTTTCAGAGATAGGGTTTCACTCTGTCACCCAGGCTGGAGTACAGTGGTATGATTATGGCTCACTGCAGTCTGGATCTCCTGGGCTAAAGCGGCTCTCCCACCTCAGCCTCTCAGGCAGCTAGCTGGGACTACAGGCATGCACCAACA